GCAGGAAGTCTTTGCTCTTTAAACAGTGGAGAAGATACCAATCCTTCGCCCCAGAGCTTCCTTCTCGATCCCTGATCAGTCCCATGGCAAAGTGGGGGGGTTCTCCCATGAAATTCATGTGTCCATTGGGGACCCCCGACTGCCGGCCTTGTCCTGACCCCACCTTTGAGGCTCGAGGAAGTTTCCCTCATTGCAATCCCTCCCCAAGACCAAAAACCATGCAAACTTGTCTGACAACTTCAGCAAACATGGTACTATAACTGAGTCCAAAATGTTGGTGTGGGCTTTGGTTTCCACCACGGGCTTTTTCTGGGAGGTGATTGTGCTTTTGCCTTTCTCTGGGGCTGAGAGTGTTTCCAAGCAGAGTAGTGATTTAAGCCACGGCTCCCAGATTCCTAATCCCACGCTCAAACCACTGCGCCACGCTGGATGTCTTGGTCCTGAATGCCACGCCCTTACCGTATGAAATTCTTAAGGTCTCAGGCCCCTTCCACACAGCTGAATAAAATCTGAGTGTGGACTCAGATAATCCAGTTCAAAGCAGGTATTGCGGGATTATCTACCTTGATATTCTGCCTTGATATTTTCTGCCTTGATGGGAGCCCCAACCCACTGAGCTGTCGAACTTGCTGACCGAACGGTTCGAATCCAGGGAGTGGGGTGAGCTCCCGCTATTAGCTGCAGCTTCTGCCAACCTTACTTACTTACTTACTTACTTACTTACTTGGGCGATCCCTAGTAGAATGGTTTCCAGACGGAAGGCGGTCCTGGTAAGAGTTGGCTTGACGTGCCTTTCTCCTGGCACCTGGCACCCTCCATTCGTGCCTGTTTGAATTCTGCAGCACTGCCAGTCACAGCTGACTTCCAGTTAGAGTGCTCAAGGGCCAGGGCTTCCCAGTTCTCGGTGGCTATGCCACAGTGGCGCTCCGAGCTGGCCACATGACCTTGGGCAGGACTAGACTTAATGTCAGGGGAAACCTTTGCCTTTTATGGCTGTGTGGAAAGGCCCTGAGAAGAGCGCACAGGATCAGCTTGAAATCCCGATGTGCAACACACTGCACCCGTTGTGGACGAGGCTTGATTTACGAATGATCCTTCCAGGACGCCAGTTGATTTACACCGACATACACACTTTATTCGTCCTCGCACCTCCCTTGGAAGCAAGTCTTGCACACTTTGGTGAGTCTTATAGGACTTTCCAGCCCAAATTCTTCAACTTCTCCTGCTAAATGGTTTGTGTGTGTGTGTGTGTGTGTGTGTGTGTCAGGAGCGACTTGAGAACTGCAAGTCACTTCTGGTGTGAGAGAATTGGCCATCTGCAAGGACGTTGCCCAGGCGGATGTTTTGATGTTTTACCATCCTTGTGGGAGGCTTCTCTCATGTCTCCGCATGGGGAGCTGGAGCTGACAGAGGGAGCTCATCCCCGCTCTTCCAGGATTCGAACCTGCGACCTGTGGGTCTTCAGTCCTGCGGGTCAGGAAGCCTTGCAGCGTTTCACCAACATGCAGCCTCACCAGCACTCGGTGTATTGCTAAATACGGGTGTGTTGTCGCTCCGTGTTTTGTTTACCAAAGACATTCACATCTCGCGTTTAATTAAGGAAATTCGGACCTTCGCAGTTTGGGGGTCAAACGTCCTTAATATTTCCAACAGCCAAGAGTGGCTGTGAAGTGGTTCATTTTAGTGAGTTAGCTAAGCGGGAATTCAAGCCCTCCCTCACTCTTGCTACCTAAATATCTTACAGAGGCTGCGCGGCTGTGAGTTTTCCCGGCTGTAGGGCCATGTTCCTGGAGAGAATGCTTCTGGAAAATGGCCATCCAGCCCGGAAAACTCTCAGCAACCCAATGATTCCGGCCACGAAACCAGGCAAGTGAGGTGTGCCTACTGAAGGCTTTCACCGCGGGAATCACTGGGTTGTTGTGAGTTTTTCGAGCTGTATGGCAATGTTCCAGAAGCATTCTCTCCTGACCTTTAGCCCACATCTATGGCAGGCATCCTCAGAGGTTGTGAGATCTGTTGGAAACCAGGCAAGGTATCTGTGGAATGCCCAGGGTGAGAGAAAGAACCCTTGTCTGTTGGAGGGAAGTGTGAAAGTTGCAATTAGCCAGCTTGATTCGCATTTAATGGCCTTGCAGCTGTTTTTTCTCCCACCCTGGATATAAACCCTAATTGCCTTGTTTCCAATAGACCTCGCAACCTCTGAGGATGCGGGCGGAACGTCAGGAGAGAATGCTTCTGGAACATGGCCATAAGGCCCGAAAAACTCACAGCAAGCCATGAAAGCCTTCGACAACAACTCAGATAACCCAGTTCAAAGCTATGGGATTTTATTCTGAGTTGTATGATTGTGTGGATGGGAGCCGCCACCCGCTGAGTTGCCGAACTTGCTGGCTTAGCGGTTCGAATCCGGGGAGTGGGGTGAGCTCCCGCTGTTAGCCGCGGCTTCTGCCAACCTTAGGGACCTGTCTTGCGAATAACGCCAAGGTTCCCAATCCATACCGGAATCTAAAGCAAATTTAGCTTCCCCAGGCAAGAGTTCGCTTTCATCTGATTCAGCGTATTATTATTTCAATGGGGGAGAAAGAAGATGTGGAGCCCGACTTGGGGATTGAGCAAGGGCCACCTTTTTCCCTTGACATCCCTTCCTTGGGACAAGACGTGAGCCTCCTCTGTCTGCACAAGAGGTCGGGAAGCGGTGTCAGGTGGCAGAAAGCACGAATTTAGCTTCTCAGAGTGACAACGAATGGAAAGGCGATCCTCCCCCCCCCTCCGAAAAGCTCTCCCGCGGTTTCTCTGCCTGGCCGGGAACAGACAAGGCGGGGCTTGGTTGGTTGGCTTGGCTCGGTTTGTGTGGTTGTCGCCTCGGTCCGAAGTTGTGAGGCCGCTGCTCGAGGGACGCCCTTGGCATCGCGGGAGGAGAGTGAGGGGAGGGTCTGCGCGTGGCCAAGTGGGCGGTCCCACTCGCGCGCCTGCCTGCCTGCTTGCCTCCCCGTTAAGTCCTACTCCGGAGCGCGGTCCCAACTTCAGCGCGAGTGGGAAGCGGAGAGGCCGAGGAGGGCTGGCTTGGCTTCCACGAGCGACGGGCTCTGAACGAGGGGAGGAAGGCAGGCGAGGCCAAGGAAGGAAAATGGATTGGACTTTGGGCTGAAATCCTCCTGCCTTCCTTCCTTCCTTGATTGTAGTCACCACCGGGTGGCAAGAAGAGGAGACGGAGATCTGGGAAGGAATCGGCAAAGTAAACTTCCTCGCGAGTTTGTGCTGCCTTGTAGTTTTTCCGGAGAGATCTTCCATGGACACACCTGCCCCTATTGACGGGGAGAAGCCTTGAAAGCATAGCATCCTCGAGTGGGAAGAGACCGCCGCACACAAAGCACTCCCGACAGATGGCCATCCAGCTTCGGCTTTAAAAACTCTAGAGAAGGAGATAGACATTACGAAGCAGCATAGTCCAACTCTTTACGGTCAGGAAGTTCTTCCTAATCCATCCATCTTCTGCTACCTTTTAACTCCAGAGAAGGAGACACTCCGAGGCCGCTTATTTCCCTTCTTTGCGGTCAGGAAGTTCTTCCTCATGCTTAGGTGAGATCTCTTTTCCTGCCATTTGAACCCATTGCTTCCTGTCCTAGCCTCGAAACTCTTACGCCTCCTCAATGTGGCATCCCAAACTTGTGGTGGACTTTCTTTCCCTGCCATTTGAACCCATTGCTAACCTCTAGAGGAGCACAAAAACAACTTGCCGGCTGCTCAAGGTGACACTCTAATGTTGGCACCATTGATCCAGCCTCTGCTTGAAAACCTCCAGAGAAGGAGAAAGACACTCCGAGGTCAGGAAGTTCTTCCTAATGTTTAGGTGAGATCTCTTTTCCTTTCCTCCCATTTGAACCCATTGCTTCCTGTCCTAGCCTCGAAACTGTTGCGCTTCCTCAACAGTTGCATCCCAATGTTGTGGTAGACTTTCTTTTCCTGCAATTCGAAGCCGTTGCTAACCTCCAGAGGGGCAAAACAACAACAACAACAGCTTGCCAGCTCCTCAACGTGACAATTTAATGTTGTTGCCATTGGAATCCACCCAGCCTCTGCTTGAAAACCTCCAGAGAAGGAGACAGAAACTCCTAGGTCAGGAAGTTCTTCCTAATGTTTAGGTGAGATCTCTTTTCCTTTCCTGCCATTTGAACCCATTGCTTCCTGTCCTAGCCTCGAAACTGTCCTAGCCTCGAAACATTGCATCCCAATGTTGTGGTAGACGTTTCTTTTCCTGCAATTCGAAGCCGTTGCTAACCTCTAGAGCGGCAAAAAAACCCAACTTGCCGGGTCCTCAATGTGACAACCTAATGTTGGTGCCAGTCCATCCAGCCTCTGCCTTGAAACCTTCCAGAGAAGGAGACAGAAACTCCGAGGTCAAGAAGTTCTTCCTAATGTTTAGGTGAGATCTCTTTTCCTTTCCTGCGATTTGAACCCATTGCTTCCTTTCCTAGCCTCAACATTGTTGCGCTTCCTCAACAGTTGCATCCCAGTGTTGTGGTAACTTGCTTTTCCTGCAATTCGAAGCCGTTGCTAACCTCTGGAGCGGCAAAAAAAAAAAAACTTTCTGGTTCCTCAATGTGATACTCTAATGTTGGTGCCATTGGAGTCCATCCAGCCTCTCGCTGAAAACCTCCAGAAAAGAAGACAGACACTGCTTCCTGTCCTAGCCTCGAAACTGTTGCGCCTCAACAGTTGCATCCCAATGTTGTGGTAGACTTTTCTTTTCCTGCAATTCGAAGCCGTTGCTAACCTCTAGACCGGCAACAAAACAACAACTTGCCAGGTCCTCAATGTGACAACCTAATGTTGGTGCCATTGGCGTCCATCCAGCCTGTGCTTGAAAACCTCCAGAGAAGGAGACTCCTCCAGGTTTGCTGTGTAAGGGGCCCTCTCTTGGACCCAGTGCTCCGGGCCTGAGCGCGAGAGCCTGATGTGGAGTGGGGCTCTCCCCCCGGGCGCTTTCCCCGCTCTCTTCTTCTTCCTCCTCCTCCTCCCTCGGCCATGCCTCGCCCGGGCAAGAGCTCGTACAGCGACCAGAAGCCCCCCTACTCGTACATCTCCCTGACGGCGATGGCCATCCAGCACTCGGCGGAGAAGATGCTTCCGCTGAGCGACATCTACAAGTTCATCATGGAGCGCTTCCCTTACTACCGGGAGCACACGCAGCGCTGGCAGAACTCGCTCCGGCACAACCTCTCCTTCAACGACTGCTTCATCAAGATCCCTCGCCGGCCGGACCAGCCGGGCAAAGGCAGCTTCTGGGCGCTGCACCCGGACTGCGGGGACATGTTCGAGAACGGGAGCTTCCTCCGGAGGCGGAAGCGCTTCAAGGTGGCCCGGCAGGAGGCCCACGCGGCGGGGAAAGCGGTGGCGCCCCCGCTCCACCCCCACCTGGGACACTACTTCCACCCCCACCACCACCCCCACCAGCCTCCTCCTCCCAAGGCGCCCTTCCCGCCCTACAGTCCCGGGTTCAAGCACCCCTTCGCCATCGAGAACCTCATCGGGCGCGACTGCAAGGGCGGCGGAGGAGGAGGAGGGGGAGGGGGCCTTCCGCTGGCCTCGGTGATGCACCACCTGGGCTACCCGGTGAGCGGGCAGCAGGTGGGCGCCGTGGTGGGCTCAGTGTGGCCCCACGTGGGCGTCATGGAGGCCCTGCCCCTGGCCGATTACGGGCCCTTCAAGGCCGCTCCCACCCAAGCCCTGCCCGCCATCCCGGTGCCCATCAAGGCCGCCCCGCTCGCCGCCCTGGCCGCCGCCGCCCACCCGCTCTGCCCCTCGCTCTCGCCCCCCGCCGCCGCCCTCCTCCAAGCCTCTCCCCCCAAGCCCAGCCCCGAAGGGAAAGCCCCCCTGCGCCCGGCTTTGGCGCTGTCCTGAAAAGGGGGGGGCGCTTGGGTTGCGGGGGATGGAGCCACACCGTAGAACAGGCATGTCCAACTTCAGCCCTCCAAATGTTTTGGACTTCAACTCCCGCAATTCCTAACAGCCTCAGGTCCTCAAACCCTTTTCTTCCCCCCCCCCCTCCCCCCAAGCGACTGAGAGGGAAAAGTATTGGAGAGGCTGAGCTGTTAGGCTCGAAAGTAATCCTCAATTGGGGCGATTCCACAGTTTTTCCCCCTGTTTCAGGAGCGACTTGAGAAACTGCAAGTCGCTTCTGGTGTGAAATAATTGACAATCTGCAAGGACCTTTTCCAGGGAACTCCCGATATTTGATTTTTCATTATTCTTGTAGGAGGTTTCTCTTATGTCCCTGCATGGAGAGCTGGAGCAGACAGAGGGAGCTCATTCAAGCTCTTCGCAGGTCAGTAGTCCTGCGGGCACAAGGGTTTAACCCATTGCGCCACCAAGGGCTCCGATTCCACCATAAATATAGCAGAATACCAGCAGGTTAAACCATTGAGCTACTAAATTTTCTGACCGAAAGGTTGGCAGCTCAAATCCAAGGAGCATGGTGCTGTCTCACTTTTAGCCCCAGCTTCTGCCAACCTAGCAGTTCAAAAACATGCAAGTGTGAGTAGATCAATAGGTACCGCTTCTATGGAAGGCAATGGCACTCCATGCAGTCATGCTGGCCACATGACCTTGGAGGTGTCTACCAACAACACAGGCTCTTTGACTTAGAAATTGAGATGAACCCCAACCCCCAGAGTCTGACATGACTGGACTTAATGTGAGGGGAAACCTTTACCTTACCGGAAGCTAACTTCATAACCAACAGAAACCGATGTGTGGTCAGCTAGGAGAAGCTTTCTCTTTCTCTCCATAGGATGGCACAGGATTGCAGAGTCAGAACTTCAGGTTCAAAAGTATTTATTGAAGTAAAAAAATATGTTCTTGATAGAAAAGGTCTTGGGGCTAACAGTTTTCTAAGTCTCATCTTCTATAAAAGGTAAAAAAAGATCCATGCACCCACATTTTGCCTAGAGAGAGAGGCAAAATGTGCATCTTCACTGGAAGGAAGGAAGTGTAGAAGAGACAATGGTGACGGAAAGGCCACGTGGCCTAGCCCAGGACAATAAAAAATACCTTTTAAAAGGAAGTTACCTCATAGAGATTCCATTGCTACATCTTCAAAGGGGGAAGAGAGAGTGGTAAGAAGGAAGAGTAAAGACAAGCATGCATAGGAATGTGGGGGAGGAATCCCTCACTCTAAGCCTATCTCTAGTCTAGCTACTCATAGAGGTCTGGAAACTTGATGACACAAGAGACGTCAAGGGATGAAATAACAAAAGGGAAGGGGCCTGAGGCTGTTAGGAATTGCGGGAGTTGAAGTCCAAAACACGTGGAGGAGGGGGGGGGGCAGTTGGCCCATGCCCGTTGTCGAATGAAAACCGTTTAGCCCCACGTGAACTGCCACGGCTCAATTCTGTGTGATTAATTGTTGATGCCATGGTATCAACAGTTGCAAAACTGGGGTGTTGTGTGGTTTCTGCGCGGTGTGTCCGTGTCCAAACAGCACACGCTGGGATAAAAGGCTTCAAGAACACAGCGATACAACTCGGAAACCACACAAACCCCCAGTTTCACACTGTTTTCACTCTGCCCATGATTACAAAGAGAATCCTGGTCTGGTGTTTATTGAAACCACAGGACACTAACGCGCATTAAGGGTCCTACTCCGCAGCCCGGGTGTTGTTTATACAAACCACAGGACACTGGTCGCATTCGGGGCTTTCTTTTGCACGCTTTTGTGGGAGTTTAGTTGTCCCACAAGATCCAGTTTGAAGCGGCATGAAATGGGTCAGTGTAGGGGACAATCCCGTCTTTTAAAAAACCCCTTCCTGTCTCGGAAGCTGCATTAGAGTCGGGCAAAGAAGGAGCAACGTCTCCCAATGCAGGGTGTCCACTCCACAAGGCGTCCACTCTCTGCGTGGAAGTCGCTCCCGTTAGTCGAGATAGCCCAAGATCAGTGATGTCGGATTATTTGTCTAGCTTTGATTCCCGACTGAAGGAAATCTAGTTGGTCTTTTCCGGGAAGTTTATGCTTGGGAAGGAACGCGCTTTAGAACAGGAGGCACAGACTCCAACTCAAAGTAATGCGATCGCCGATCTTTGCCATTGTCTCCCCCGGATTTTGCCCTATACCTTGTCAGAGGCACCATATATCTCTCTTTCATAGGATTCAGGCAATCTTTTTCACTCCTTTGGATGCATTCACACAGTGGAACTCATGCAGTTTCACACCACTTGAATTGCCATAGCTCAATGTGATGTGCACTGTTTGGCAGAGAAGGCAAATACCTTAGAAAACAACAGCTTCGGTGATTCCATAGCACTGAGCCATGGCAGTTCGAGTGGTATCAAACCGCATTAATCCCAGTGTAGCTGCACCCTAGAACAGCCAGAGCCCTCAAGAGTACTTCCTTACTTAGGCGATCCCTCCTTGTCCGAGTAGGATTGTCTTCCAAGATAGGTGTACTGCGGTCCAGGTAGGGGTTGGCTTGATGCACCTTCAAATTCTACAGCACTGCTGGTCACAGCTGACCTCTATGGCGGTGGGTCCATAAGTGACTGTAGAGCTCTATTCTTGATCTGCATGTTCTCCCGCATTGAGGGCATTGGTTTTCAGGTGGAAGGCAGTCCCGGTCGGGGTTGGCTTGATGCGCCTTCAAATTCTACAGCACTGCTGGTCAAGCTGATCTCCAGCTGAAGCACTCAAGGGCAGGGCTTCCCAGTTCTCAGTGTCTATGCCAGAGTTTTTAAAGTTGGCGTTGAGCCCATCTTTAAATCTCTTTTCCTGCCTGCCAACATTCCGTTTTCTTTCTTGATTCGGAGTAGAGCAACTGCTTTGGGAGACTTCGCCTTGATGGCGGAGGACTATTGCTTCATTGCCCCAAGAGTAACAAGTGCTCAATCAAGATGGCTTTGTAAACTGAAGCTCCTTCTACACAGCTGAAATAAAATCCCACATTATAGGCTTTGAATTGGGATATATGGCAGTGTGGACTCAGTTAACCCAGTTCAAAGCCAATATTGTAGGATTTTCTGCCTTGATATTCTGGGATATGTAGCTGTGTGGAAGGGCCCTTAAACTAGCTTTGTAGCAACAAAGCTACAGAGCAGAATGCGTCATAAAGCTCAACTGGAAAAAGTTAGGAAATTTGGAGGTTCCTCTGGGATCGGATTTCTGCAGAACTCAAACCCCATTGTGGGTGGAAATGCCTACTAAAGCACTTCTAACCCGAAGTGTACGTCGTGGATTGGGAAGATTTAAAAAACCCACTGGATAGAAATGTTTTGGTATTTATACCCACACCCCTAAAATAGGCAAAGCAAAGCTATTGAGAATAACAAGCAGCCGGGGATTGAAAAGTAAAGCTGGAGGAGTGAGGGGGAAATGTCCTAGGAGATTCCCGAGAGCATTAACTGGCGTGAGACGTGTCGTGAGGTTTGCGCATGTGGTGTCATATTGTGGTGTAAGACCTGTGTTCTCATAGCCTTGTCCTGTTTTTGTTTCAGTCTTCAATGCTTGTGGCTAGCAACACCTTCATAGTCGCCATTGGTGTATATGTAGCTGCTACATGCATATATATGGCTTTAATCTGTATTTATTATCTCGCTTGCGTTTGGAAACAAAATACCCCTCGAAGGGGAAAGTTGCTTTCAAAACACTTTCAAGCACTTTACACAGGGGTGGGAGGAAATACTTATGGGACGGGAAAGGGATGACTGAGGGCCCTTCCACACAGCCCTATATCACAGAATATCAAAGCTGAAATCCCACAAGATCTGCTTTGTGCTGGGTTATCTGAGTCCACACTGCCATATATCCCTGTTCAAAGCAGATAATGTGAGATTTTATGCAGCTGTGTGGAAGGGACCCAAGGCATCCAGACAGAGGCCGAGCTCCGAGTTGTACTTCTGGGTCTGTGATGCAAACGAGAAGAGTCCAAATGTACCACAAAGACCAGCATTTTTTGAAACGCGCAGGATTTTACCATCCTAAACACAGGAGAAAAACAAACCCGAAGCCTCCGTGTGAGAATAAGATGCCAACAACCCAGTGTTGTTTATTGGAAATGAAGTAGTCAGGCTACAACCACAATCGTTCACAAACCCGACCCAGAAGTACAACTCGGAGCTCGGCCTCTGTCTGGATGCCTTGGGTCCCTTCCACACAGCTGCATAAAATCCCACATTGTCTGCTTTGAACAGGGATATATGGCAGTGTGGACTTCTGGGTCGGGTTTGTGAACGATTGTGGTTGTAGCCTGACTACTTCATTTCCAATAAACAACACTGGGTTGTTGGCATCTTATTCTCACACGGAGGCTTCGGGTTTGTTTTTCTCCTGTGTTTAGGATGGTAAAATCCTGCGCGTTTCAAAAAATGTTGGTCTTTGTGGTACATTTGGACTCTTCTCGTTTGCATCACAACAAACATTATTGTCGAAGGCTTTCATGGCTAGAATCACTGGATTACTGTAGGTTTTTCGGATGATATGGCTATATTCTAGAAGCATTCTCACCTGACGTTTCGCCTGCATCTATGGCAAGCATCCTCAGAGGTTGTGAGGTCTTCAAGCTCTGAGGATGCTTACCATAGATGCAGGCGAAACGTCAGGAGAGAATGCTTCTAGAATATAGCCATATCGCCCGAAAAACCTACAGCAACCCATTCTCGGAAGTCCTGCCCAAATATCAAAATGTGGGTTTTAGTTTGATCTTTCTGAGCGAACATCTCCATTCTCCCGGATCCTGTCCTGCTCCTCTTGCGAAATGCTTCTTCTAGGGAGGTTTTCTTTTTTTTTTTCTCTCAGCGGGATTTCTCTTGCCTTCTGAGGCTGAGAGAGTGTGATTTGCCAAACGTGCCCAGTGCATTTCCATTGTTGTCTCGAAGTCTAGCCTCGCAAACTTCTAGTTCAGTGTTTAGACCAA